ATACAGGTTGAGCATTTTATTTATTTATTTGCTACATTTTTATACCACCCCTCTCAGCCCGCAGACGACTCAAGGTTGTATTATAAAAAACATCTCTTATCTGGGACTCCAAAATTATCCAAATAGGTTGGGGATGGGCAAACTTGGGCCCTCAAGGTGTTTTGGCCTTCAACTCCCACAATTCCTAACAGCCTCAGCCTTTAATCAGATCAGCTCCCTCCCTCCTGACCTACAGAAAGAAATTAAAAACATGGATGTAGGACCAAGTCTTTGGACAGTAATGCAGTGCAATAGGTGAAGATGGGATATGTGCAATCATGACTGGAACGGCTCCTGGACTATGGTTTCGGATTGTGTGGTTTTTAATAATGGGTTTTAATGTTTATTTTTTTTTTAATTTGATGTTTTTAATATATAGGTTTATTTTATTACATGTCTATTTTATGGGGCATTGAATTATTGCCTATTGTAAGACTGCTCTGAGTCTCCTTCGGGGTTATTTATTTATGGTATCAGGAGTGAACCAAGGGTACAGTTGTAATGTATTTAAAAAACAAACAACAACAAAAGACCCCCCCCCCCTGCAAAGTTTGAAATCTTGTCATTATATTAAATATCCTTTGGCCAGTAGCCGGCCACTTGGAGTGCCCCTGATGTTGCTGTAAGAATGTCCTCCTTTGTGCATGTGGCACGGCTCAGACTGCATTGTGATAGGTGGTCTATGGTTTGCTCTTCTCCACACTCGCATGTCATGGACTTCACTTTGTGGGGCCATTTCTTAAGATTGGCTCTGTATCTTGTGGTGCCAGAGCACAGCCTGTTCAACGCCCTCCAAGTGGCTCAGTTTTCTGTGTGTCCAGGAGGCAGTATCTCATCTGGTATCAACCATGGATTGAGGTTCCGGGTTTTAGCCTGCCACTTTTGGACTCTTGCTTGCTGAGGTGTTCCTGTGAGTATCTCTGTAGATCTTGATGAGGACAAAATAAATCCCTACCAAATTAATGCTAATTAACCAGAGGGTAAACAAGATATGCAATAGCTAATGTTTGATGTAGTCATTTATTTAGTAAAATAATAGCCGTCCCCTGCCATGCATTGCTGTGGCCAAGTATATGTGTTTGGTTTGTATATATGTGCATATATTTGTGTATATGTGTGGTTTTGCGCATGCATTGTAATCTAATTTTATTTTTTGGCTTTCTAAGTCTCTTCCACTGTGTTTTTCAATGTTTTTATGAGTGATGGTCACCCATTGGCCTGGTAGGTGTATTGTGTCCAAATTTGGTGTCGATTCGTCCAGTGGTTTTTGAATTATGTTAATCCCATAAACAAACATTACATTTTTATTTATATGGACTAGCTGTCCCCTGCCACTCATTGCTGTGGCCCAGTTTGTGTACATGTGTTTTGTGTGTGTATATATTTGTGTATATGTGTATATATATGTGTGTGTGTGTATGGTTTTGTGCCTTTGTTGTAATGTAATTTTTTTGGCTTTTTAATTCCTTTCCACTGTGTTTTTCAGTGTCTTTATGAGCGATGGTCACTTGTTGGTCTGATAGGTGTATTGTGTCCAAATTTGGTGTCGATTCGTCCAGTGGTTTTTGAATTATGTTAATCTCACAAACGAATATTATATTTTTATTGATATAGATTGATATTCCACCCTATATCTGAAGATCTTGTGGTTGTGTGTGATAAAATCAATTTCGAACAATAAACAACAGCAATAATTGTGTAAGATTAAAAACTTATTAAAAGATTAGTAGTTTAAAACCATACAATTAAAAACCTGTTCAAACCATTTTAAATAATGTAACCAAAGGATATGCGCAGCTCAGATAAAATCTGTTGTGCCCAAAGACTTTAATTCTAGAACTGGAGGTCTACCATAGCGTTTCCAACATTGGAATAGATTACTTTTAAAAACTAAGTTTTCATACTCTAGAATGGATCATCGTTTATTGCTATTCACGTGTTCTGTAATAGTCAGACACTTTATCCTTTGGGATGTTGTTTAATTGTCATAGGCTACTTGGGGGGCCAGGAATCCTTGATCTCTACATCAATTAAAGAAGCTCATTCAAGGAGGGAAGGATGAAGGATCAAACCTGATCATTAGATGATGAATCCAATAAAGAGCCTGTTAAAATATCACCCATCTGCATCAAGGGTTCTCTAGATTATGCAGTGATGTAAGAGGAGGGAAGACTCAGCTAATGCCTTTCTTTCATCCTTCCCGGCAATATTATATATAAACCTTTGGCTATTTGAAATGACTATGGCCTCTGAAATGTAGATAATGTCAGGATAATCAACATACGAGCCATTCTGTTGGCAAGTAAATTGATAAGAGATTGAAGGAGACTGTTGGCATCGTGCTGGCTAACCTCCAGCATAGCTGACTTGCCCTAAGTAGGGCAGATACTGACATGTGTCCTAAATGCATCAGTCATTCATGTAATCTTCAGATATGGTTAGGACACAGCTTCTATCGCTCCCCGCCATTTGGTGAGTATAATGGGAGTTGTAGTCCAACCACATTTGGAGGGCATCAACTGGGATGGAAAAGATGAATGAATGAATGAATGAAACTTTATGTTCAGGAAAGGAAATTCCACCTGAACATTAGGAAGAATGTTGCAATTCCAATTTCACTAACTGATTGCAATGTGCTGCAATTATTATGTTCTCTCTTTATTTTGAAATTTAATAGGAAATTTCAAAACATAAATGATAAATTATTTTAATTAGTTGGTTCCTATCAATAGCCACACCCCAAAGCTGATTTCCTTCATGGTCACAGCTTCATGTCCCATCGATGCAACAGCTTTACACCAGATGCTCACTGCCCCAATCTTTTGATGGCGGTGGCCTCACAACTCATAGAATTATAGAGATGGAAGAGACCTCATGAGCCATCCAGTCCAACCCCATTCTTCCAAGAAGCAAGAAAATTGCATTCAAAGCACCCCCGACAGATGGCCATCCAGCCTCTGTTTCAAAGCCTCCAAAGAAGGAGCCTCCACCACACTGGGTCAGAGAGTTCCACTGCTGAAGATCTCTCACAGTCAGGAAGTTCTTCCTAGTGTTCAGGTGGAATCTCCTTTCCTGTAGTTTGAAACCATTGTTCAGTGTCCTAGTCTCCAGGGCAGCAGAAAACAAGCTTGCTCCCTCCTCCCTATGACTTTCTCTCACATATTTATACATGGCCCTCATATCTCCTCTTAGCCTTCTCTTCTTCAGGCTAAACATGGCCAACTCTGTAAACTGCTTCTCATAGGGCTTGTTCTCCAGATACTCCCCCCCCCCCCCCCCCCCCCAGTAAAGCCAGACACTATAGTTTTCCAAAGGTTCGGGCATGCCATCACATTTTTTAAATAGAAAGGATGAAGTATAGAATTTTCAGAACTTCATTCAGTAAGTTATTCTTCCTTCAAACATAAATGTAGCAAATAAGTTATTTGGGGTTTTTTGCCAAATGATTAAATACTAGGCTTGTGCATGGATTCAGATTGGTCAGTTCCCTTTGGCCAATCCAACTTGTTCAGTTTGTTCAGATGACCGTAATGGTAAGGGCTCAGTTGCCATGTTGTTTTGTTTGTGTTTTTTTTGTTTTTGCCCAAAACAGCCCACATGACTGCCAGTCGCAGTTTCTTCCCTTCTATTCAGGAGCATGCTTCCTTAACCCCTTTCCTCAAAGGAAGGGAGAAAAGGAGCCCAGGAAGGGTGCTTCCTTTACCCCGTTCTTCAAACCCAGACTCCCTTGAAAGGAAGATAGGAAAAGATCCCAAGAGGGGTGCTTCCTGAACTCCATTCCTCAAACCCAGACTCCGTTGAAAGGAAGAAAGGAAAGGATCCCAGGAATGGAAAGGGGAGCCTCATAAGTTCCCCATTCCCGCCAATGGGACAGATCTTCCTGGATCTTTTGGCTGCCCAGCTGAAAACAGATTTCCTCATCAGCCGATTTTTGGAAGGCTCCCGAAAAACTGATCTGAGTACCCAACGAAATTTGGATACCAAAAATGGATTGCCCTCTAGCCAAATTCCGCAAGCTTTAACTACATTTATCATTTCTACTAAAAGAAATAGTTTTCTAAGATCTACAGCAGTGGTCCTCAAACTTTTTAAACGGAGGGCCAGGTCACAGTCCCTCAAACTGTTGGAGGGCTGGATTATAATTTTTAAAATTATGAATTAATTCCTATGCACATATCTTATTTGTAGTGCAAAGAACACTTAAAAACAATACAATAATTAAAATGAAGAACAGTTTTAACAAATATAAACTTATTAGTATTTCAGTGGAAAGTGTGGGCCTGCTTTTGGCTGATGAGAAAGGATTGTTGTTGTTGTGTGCTTTCAAGCCATTTCAGACTTAAGTTGACCCTGAGCGAGGGCCGGGTAAATGACCATATCCGGCCCCTGGGCCTTAGTTTGAGGACCCCTGATCTACAGAGACACTCGCTGGAACACCCCAGCAAGCGAGAGTCCAGAAGTGGCAGGCTCAAACCCAGCACCTCAATCAATGGCTGATAACAAATGAGACTCCCTCCTGGGCACACAGAAAACTAGGCGACTTGGAAGGCGCTGAACAGACTGCGCTCCAGCACCACGAGGTGCAGAGCCAATCTTAAGAAATGGGGCTACAAAGTGGAATCCACAACATGCGAGTGTGGAGAAGAGCAAACCACTGACCACCTGCTGCAATGCAACCTGAGCCCTGCTACATGCAAAATGGAGGACCTTCTTGCAGCAACACCAGAGGCACTCCAAGTGGTCAGTTACTGGTCAAAGGACATTTAATCAACTGCCAAGCTTGCAAACTTTGTGTTTTGTCTGTCTGTTTGTTTGTTTGTTTTGTTAAAAATGTAATACAACTGTCTGGTTGCTCCTGACACGATAAATAAATATCTCTACTAATGTTGTTATCTATGGATGTAGCAGAGGGACATGTTGGGTAGAATATGGTCCTTAGTCTCTCAGATTATACTTTTTTCTGTGCAGGTAAACATTGAGATCATGGGCCCTACAATAACAGCAACACTCCACATATTGGGGCTATTATTATTCGGAGGAGCCTGCATTGGCAACAAAGGTAAGATTCAGTACAATTTTGTTAAATGTTTACTTTAAACATAATGCCATTGTTAAAGAAGGTAATAATCTATTCAACACATTTGAGATCTGGTGCAGGACGAGAGTTCTGCAGATAACATGAACGGTTAAAAGACAAATCAGTAGATCCTGCAGCAAATCAGGTCTGAACTCTTCCTAGAGGTCAAGATGGCTAACCTTTGGCCATACCATGAAAAGAGATGGCTCACTAGAAAAGACGATAATGCTTGAGGAAATGGAAGCAGATAGGAAAAGAGTATCTTTTCAATTAGGGAAGCAACAGTCCTTAGTCTGCAAAACCTGGGCAAAGCTTTTGATAGTAGGGTGACTTAGAGGTCCCATTCGTAGAGACGGCACAAGTCAAAGACAAATCTGCACCCATCTTGAGAGTTCAGAGAGGTTAACTGTTAGTTTGCCCTAGTAAAAGGCTAATGATTCACAGGATCTTGAGACCGCCATTGTCTAACCACAAGGGACCAGCAAACCTAGAAAACTGATTCATTTTCTAAGAAAATATTGCCTGATTTCTTAAGAATTTATTGAATGGTTTAATCATATCAATCCAGAACCACAGTGAAGAACAACTAGAAACCTCAAGATGTATAAACCCACATTTTTCCTATCAGAAGGGAACTTTCTAATGATGCATGTATTGGTTCAATGTCAACTAAGAAAGTCTGCAGCATAGAATAACTATCATGGACGGAGAAGGGGTGGGATGAAGAATGAGTGAAATAGGGCTGTTCCAATTTAATGCAGGGACAGGCAACTGAATGTAGGGGATGAGAATAAATTTTCGCCTCTATTGCCGACTAAGATGTAGAAATATATCAGAAGTGATACTGTGTCTCTACTATTTTCCATTATTGTAGATTTTCTACCATTTGGGGGTGTATTAAGAGAGCTGGATGAGTTCTGAGGGTGGGAGAGGCAAACGCTACATGAAATGCTGGAGGATATGCATTGGGCCCCCTGGTGGCACAGCAGGTTAAACTGCTGAGCTGCTGAACTTGCTGACCAAGAGGTTGATGGTTTGAATCCGGAGAGTGGGGTGAGCTCCCGCTGTTAGGCCCATCTTCTGCCAACCTAGCAATTCAAAAACATGCAAATGTGAGTAGATGAATAGGTACTGCGGGAAGGTAACGCGTTGCACTCCATGCAGTCATGCTGGCCACATGACCTTGGAGGTGTCGATGGACAATGCCGGCTCTTTGGCTTAGAAATGGAGATGAGCACCAACCCCCAGAGTTGGACATGACTAGACGTAATGTCAAGGGAAATCTTTACCTATGAATTGGGCTTTTTTGTGAAGGAGGCATTTTCAGCTCCAAAATTACCAAAATGTGCCTCATTTAATTACAATGAGAGACTTTGGGGTGCTTTGAGGTCTCTGTGTGAGTTTAGGCATGGGAAACCATCCAAAGGGTTTCCCATGCCTGATTGAATGGAAAGGAATGCATAGTATAATCGTTTCCATATTGGATTTTGATATAAGTTCAGGTCCCCATTCGGGCATCGTAACCTGTTGAGTGACCTTAGGCAATTCATACTTTCTCAGCTCCAGAAGAAGATGAAAGCCGACCTCCTCTAAACAAATCTCACCAAGCGAAACCCATAATAGCTTCATCTTAGGACCATCATAAGTTGGAAACGACTTGAAGGCAGACAGCAACAATCTACAATGTTCTCTTACCTGTGTGGGTGGGAGATCAGGAGGACATCTACAATTGCAGCAGAAAGCAATCCTACTCCATGTTCATTCTTGTTCTTCGTCTCTCAATCTTTCCCACAGATCCCTGGTGCTATGACCGACCACATTGCGGTAAGTAAACAGCATTCCTTGGTTCAAGCCGTGCTTCCAACATCCTTCCCAAAGGCTGTATCCGCAAGTAGGTGAATGATAAATTTAAGGTACAGAAAGAGAAGAAGCTTCTCCTATTGGGGCTTTGAAGATGCTTCACTGGTACTAAATATTTGCCATTGTGTTTTATATTGTTGTAAGCCTCCCTGAGTCCCCTTTGGGAGATAGGGAGGGCTATAAATAAAGATTATTCTTATTCTTATTATGCCTTCAGCTATATTTAACCAAACTTAACATTCCTATTACAGAGTTCCCCAATCTAGGGCAGGCATGGGCAAACTTTGTCCCTCCAGGTGTTTTGGACTCCAACTTCCATAATTCCTAACAGCCAGTAGGCTGTTAGGAATTGTGGGAGTTGAAGTCCAAAACACCTGGAGGGAACTAAGTTTGCCCATGCCTGATGTTGTGCCTTTTGGATGTGTTATATTGCAAGAATCTTCGTCTCCTTTTGGAGAGTTTGTACTTGGGCTGTATATAAGCCCTGTGGCCAAGTTCTCCTCCTTATAGCTTAGCTCAATCCAAAAAATAAACTGTAAAGGAGCATGCCTTGGATTTCCTTTCGCTCATAGAAATCCAAATTTTATAGAACTTGCGATTTTCACTCTGAAATGTATAGAGACTTTGCACACTCTTGGCACATGGGAAAATTGTATGAGGTGGTCCTGCCAGGATAATACAGCAACACAATCAAGATATATAACTTATTTAGGGAAAGAGAAAGACAAAGTATGCACCACATCACAAACTTGCAAACAAAATATGCATTTCTGAGTAGTAGAATCTGGCTCCTTGGTGAAGGTAGATTGTTGTTTTGACTACTTGTGAAAGAAACTTTGTTTTTAGGAAAGTGATCTAGCTATCCAATCAGAAAATTATTTCGAAATTGGCTGTATTTTGTAAAGGAACCATCTCTGTTATACTAAATGAATTACTGTGAAAGGGAGGTTAACCTATGGAGTGTATGTAGGAGTCACAGCCAACATCTGTCTGTTGTGGATTTTGGGGGAAAGGCTTCTCATTACAGATGCTCTAGTGGAAAATATTGGTAGGTTTATTACATGCAACTATTAGAACATGGTGTTTAAATGTAGTTAAATATTGTTTGTAGTTTAAACTGTGATGTAGCAATGTAATACAATAGATAAATGTATAGAGCTGTGATGGATTGCTAGAGCATAACTTTGGAAAGTTCCTGTGATGTAGAGGCATGCCAGGAGATCTGATAGGCATGTGCTTCCAACAATGTATGGCTAAGTGATTGAATGTGTTTTTCTCTGCTCCTGTATATAGTTTATAGTTTAGATTGCAATAAAGCTATGCTGATCCAGGCTTTGGAGCTGATTTAAGTAGCATGCTTCGTTTATTTTCCTTGTGCTTTCCAAGTGGATGCTGGAGAGACAAGAAGTATTGAGATAAGAGAGAGGGGAAATTTACCTCAATAAATCAACAGCAACCCCCTTTCTTTCCATTTCCTCAGGCCCAAAAACATGGTCATCTCTTGGTAAATGCAATGGCAAGAATCAGTCTCCCATCAATATCGTAACCAAGAAAGCCATATCTGATGACTGCTTGGGTCCAATTAATTTTTCTGGCTATGAAGACCGCAAGAGGCCGTATGTCCTTAAGAACACAGGGCATTACGGTAAGTGAAGGCAAATGAGCAACTATAAATTGATATGTAAGGCACTGAGATGGGATGGCTCTTGAATGTCAGATGGTGTCAGGAAGATCTATCACAGCATTTGACAATTGTCTGGAGCAGTGAGTTGCTGCCCACCAAGCTGCTTTTCAATTGGAAACTGGAAGGATACGGGCTGTCAGTTGAGTTCCACCTACTTTTCTAAAGCTTTTGGGTCTAGCCATCATCAACAGGTGACCATTTTGTATTCTCCCGATAAATAAGAGTTATGCTGCAAAGCAAATTTGGGAATAAAAGGACCACTAGATTTCTTCATGATGTATACAACTGAATATGTTAGCATCATGATTCAAGGTGATAAGAGATGGCATACACTTTATGCCAGCATTTTTCAACCTGGGGGTCAGTGGGGTAGTCAAAAACATCAGAAAAAACAGTATTTTCTGTTGGTCATGGGGGTTCTGTGTGGGAAGTTTGGTCCAATTCTGTTGTTGGTGAGGTTCAGAATGTTCTTTGATTATAGGTGAACTATAAATCCCAGCAACTACGACTTCCAAATGTAAAGGTCTATTTTCTCCAAAGTTCACCAGTGTTCACAAATTAGGCCATATTGAGTATCCATTCCAAGTTTGGTCCTGATCCATCATTGTTTGAGTCCACAGTGCTCTCTGGAGTTGTAGGTGAACTACAACTCCAAAACTCAAGGTCAATGCCCACCAAACCCTTCCAGTATTTTCTGTTGGTCATGGGAGTTCTGTGTGCCAAGTTTGGTTCAATTCCATCATTGGTGGAGTTCAGAATGCTCTTTGGTTGTAGGTTAACTATAAATCCCAGCAACTACAACTCCTAAATGACAAAATCAATCCCTCCCTCAAATTTGGGCGTATTGAGTATTTGTGCCAAATCTGGTGCATCGTGCATATCAGTTATTTACATTAAGATTCATAACAGTTGCAAAATTATAATTATAAAGTAGCAATGAAAATAATGTTATGGTTGGGGGTCACCAGAACATAAAGAATTGTATTAAGGGGTCACAGCATTAAGAAGGTTGAGAACCACTGCTTTATGCTGAAATGCATTGAATTTGTCCATGGTGTCATTCTCAAGAGAAGCAAAAAACAATATGGTGCACTGTATTGTTGAAGGCTTTCATGGCTGGAATCACTGGGTTGTTGTAGGTTTTTCCGGGCTATATGGCCATGTTCTAGAGGCATTTTCTCCTGACCTTTCGCCTGCATCTATGGTAAGCATCCTCAGAGGTAGTGAGGTCTGTTGGAAGTAGGAAAATGGGTTTATTCCACAGATATATAAACCCATTTTCCTACTTTCAACAGACCTCACTATCTCTGAGGATGCTTGCCACAGATGCAGGTGAAACGTCAGGAGAAAATGCCTCTAGAACATAGCCATATAGCCCGGAAAAACCTACAACAACCCAATATGGTGCACCTTTGGGGAATTGGAGGAAAATATTCCTTTTATTACGGTGACTCCAGTTGGTTTGGAAAAGTGCTAGGACTCCTCCCATTCCATATCTGTTCTTTGCCTATTGCTGCCTTTTGCTTTGTTCTGACGAAAACGTAAACCAAGGGTGACCACAATGATTCTAATTCTTCATTTGTATATGCACATTGTTGTTATATTAATATGTTCTGCTATGGCGTGTGTGGAAGAGAGAACATTGTGAACTATGAAGTATACACGAATTCTTGCTTCTTTGATTTATACCATACTTTGAAAGCTCACAGCACTAAATCAACAACCAGTCGACTTAAATGTTTATGCATAACTAAAAATACATTTAATGCATATGCCAACTTCTGTTTGTCTCTATGATGTACAAAATGCAGATACCCATATATGCTAACTTGGGTTTGACTCTACACACAGTGTGGCTGTTAAGAATAAATTATTGCTAATTCAGAAGTCTGTGGCCAAAAGATTTGGCTAGAAATCTTATAATGGTGGCTTTGGGTGGTGGCAAGTTTTATTCCTGATGTTGATTATTTTATTTAGCATGTCAGAAGCAAATTGAAGGTACAGTTGTTATGTATTTAAAAACACAAAGTTAAAAACTTGGCATTATACAAAATGTCTTTTGACCAGAAGCTGGCCACTTGGAGTGCCTCTGATGTTGTGCCGTCACACCCAGACACTATAAAATTAAAACTAAGATGTGCTTCTCTCTTTATCTGGATGAACCACTGGTGTCTTTCTTAGAAGCTTAAGCTAAGGCCAGGAATTGTGGGAGTTGAAGTCCAAAACACCCGGAGGGCCCAAGTTTGCTCATGCCTGGTCTAGACGGATCATATGCCACAAGACTCAGCTGACGGGGCCTGTTCTTAAGAGTAGGAGCTACGCTTTGCCAAGTCAGTTTTAGATTGGGACATGGTGTTGTGCATTACGTCTGCCCTTTATGAAGGCATAAAAAGTTTTGTTATGGATTCACTGCAGCTGAAATTGCCATGAAAGATGGAGCTACTATTTCTGGGCCAGGCCTTCCAGCAATCTACTCCCTGAAGTCCTTCCACTTCCACTGGGGTACCTACCATCACAAAGGCTCTGAACATGCAATCGACGGCCTGAAACACGACATGGAGGTGAGCCAAACAGAGGAGGCAGGGAGGGCTATATTCTTTGAGATGGGGAGATATGTTCAAAGTGTGTTGTTGTTTCTTTCCCCTATATTTCTTTCTTTCTTTTTTTAATGGTGAGTGCTTTGTGGTTGTTAACTGTCTTCAAGATGACTTTGAGCCATGGTGACCCTATGAAAGAAGGACCTCCAAAGCTAGATCTACACTATCATATAATCCAGTTTTTGAATCCAGATTATCTGCTTTGAACTGGATTATATGAGTCTACACTGCCATACAATCCAGTTCAAAGCAGATAATCTGGATTCAAAAACTGGATTATAAGGTGGTGTAGCTTGGACTACGAGAAGATCCAACCAGTCCATCCTCCAGGAAATAAAGCCCGACTGCTCATTGGAGGGAAGGATACTAGAGACAAAGCTGAAGTACTTTGGCCACATCATGAGGAGACAGCAAAGCCTAGAGAAGACAATTATGCTGGGGAAAGTGGAAGGTAAAAGGAAGAGGGGCTGACCAAGGGCAAGATGGATGGATGGCATCCTTGAAGTGACTGGACTGACCTTGAAGGAGCTGGGGGTGGTGATGGCCGACAGGGAGCTCTGGCGTGGGCTGGTCCATGAGGTCACGAAGAGTCAGAGACGACTGAATGAATGAACAACAACAAGCTGGGACCCAACTCACCTTCTCGACAACCCTGCTCAAGCCTTGCAGACTCAGTGCCGTTACTTCCCTGGTTGAAAAGTTACTTTAAAAATCATTTGGTTATTGTATCGAGCCACAAAAGATAGTTGGTTGCCATGATATTAACAATATGTTACAAGTTGCTCCACAATGCCTAAAATATTTACTTTTCGTTACTTTTAAAAAAAACCCAGAATGTTAAAAGTTGGGTTGTTGTAGGTGACCTCACTACCTCTGAGGATGGTTGCCATAGATGAAGGCGAAACGTCAGGAGACAAGCCTCTAGACCATGGCCATATAGCCCGAAAAAACCTACAACAACCCAGTGATTCCGGCCATGAAAGCCTTCGACAATACATGTTAAAAGTTGTTGGCCTACAGTACAAAAGGAGCAAGATATTCCTTCCCTAGATTACAAACATATTGTGACTTACTAATGCATTGCTTTTTTTCAGAAAACGAATCATTTGTAAGTTAGTAGTTGTAAGAAATTCTTTTCAAGTCTCTTTTCTGATTTCATTGTGTTTGTCTGTTTCCACTTTATACTAGAGCCCTTGCTAGCGCAATGGGTTAAATCTTTGTGCTGGCTGAACTGCTGACCAAAAGGTCAACAGTTCGAATCCAGGGAGCAGGATGAGCTCCTGTCTGTCAGCTCCAGCTTCCCACTTGGGGACATGAGAGAAGCCTCCCACAGGATGGGAAAACATCAGGGCATGCCCTGGGCAATGTCCTTGCAGATGGCCAATTATTTCACAGCTCGCTCCTGACACAAAAAAGCAACAACTTTATACTTGTTAATTGGCTGAATTTTGTTACTGTTTTAGTATAAAAATTGGTTATAAATCATCAGTATCCATTGTATCCCTATTTCTTATCTTGTTTTCCTGATATTGTGTGCAGAGAGTTGTAAATAACCCTACTTTAACTGCTGCTCCTTGAAGAAAGCCACAATAGTCAAAAGTGGAATCATAGTACTAAAACTGTGAAAGGGCCCTTAGTGTTAATCCTCCAAGAGTGCCACTAGGGGGCGCTAAATTGTAGCAAATATATCACCTAAACTACATCACCCTGGAGATTGGCTTTTTGAAGTCTTAATGTGCATGTGTGTGTGTGTGTACACGCGTGCATTTTGGGCTGAAATGGACAATGAAGGGAAAAGTTTTAAACCTCCCTGATGTAGACAAAGTGGTGTCAATCCAAAATAGACCCATGTATACACAGTGTGCATTGCATGCTTCATATATTATTATTATTATTATTATTATTATTATTAATAATTTCTTGCCTCCCTCTCCTCATGGCTCATGGTGGGTTACACATTCACCTAAAACATTCTTTAAAATAAATATGTTAAAACATAAAATATTTTAAAACCTGTGTGACCGCTCTCGATCCCACCTGCATCGCAAGCGCGATTGGTGGGGACGAGGGACAGGGCCTTCTCGGTGGTGGCCCCTCAACTCTGGAACTCACTCCCTAAGGACATCAGGCATGCCCCAACGTTGGCAGTCTTTAGAAGGAGCTTGAAAACGTGGCTGTTCCAGTGTGCCTTCCCAGAATAAGGAAACTCCAAGCAATATGTCCCAAATGCACTTTACTAGAGATCTAGAATTGCCTGCAAGCCCCACCTATCCCTAAAATATCTATCCTATTTCACCTGATCATGCCCACCACTTTTAAAGATTTTAAGTATTACATTTGGCCCTGCCACAGGTTTTAATGCGCCGTGGTGTTATTATTAATGTTTTTTGCTTTGTTTCTGAGGTTATTTATTTATTTATTTATTTATTATTATTATTGTATTGTTGTTGTTGTGTTTTACTGATGTATTTGGGCTCGGCCTCTTGTAAGCCGCACCGAGTCCTTCGGGAGATGATAGCGGGGTATATATAAAGGATTATTATTATTATTATTATTATTATTATTATTATTATTATTATATAGAGTTACAAGCTGGGTAAATTCAGGGAACATGGTGGATGTAGCGTATCTGGATTTCAGTAAGATCTTTGACAAGGTCCGCCATGACCTTCTGGCAAACAAACTAGTCAAATACAGGCTAGGCAAAATTATGGTTAGGTGGATCTTTAATTGGTTATGTGAACAAACCAAGAGGGTGATTCTCCCCAATGCTTCCTCTTCGTCCTGGAAAGAAGTGATGAGTGGAGTGCCATAAGCAGGGTTCTGTCCTGGGCCTGGTCCTGTTCAACATCTTTATTAATGACTTAGATGAAGGGCTAGAAGGCATGATCATCAAGTCTGCAGACGACACCAAATTGGGAGGGATAGCTAACACCCCAGAAGACAGGAGCAGAATTCAAAACGATCTTCACAGATTAGAGAGATGGGCCAAAACCAACAAAATCAAGTTCAACAGGTACAAATGCAAGAGACTTCACTGAGGCAGAAAAAAAATGACATGTAAAGACACAGAATGGGGGATGCCTGGCTCGGCAGCAGTACGTGTGAAAAAGATCTTGTAGTCCTGATAGACAGGAAGGTGAACATGAGCCAGCAATGTGATGCAGCGGTATAAAAAGCCAATGGGATTTTGGCCTGCATAAATAGGAGTCTAGTGTCTAGATCTAGGGAAGTCATGCTACCCCTCTATTCTGCCTTAGTCAGACCACACCTGGAATCACACTGTGTCCAATTCTGGCCACCGCAATGGAAGGGAGAAGTTGACAAGCTGGAATGTGTCTTCAGGTGTAACATCATCTGTAGCACTTAATACCCACTTTGATGTAAAGTCTTCAAATGTCACATCCGTGATGACATCGTAACGACTTTGTAAAAGTTCAACCCAACTCATGATTTGGAAGACCTCTGTTGCACCTCCCTCTCCCTATGCCACCTGTTGTTTTACCTTTATTAATCAACTGATTACTTCAAAACACTGCTTGTTATGGCAACTATCACAAGTGCTTCTGCCATGTAAGCTGTGATAACTGCTCGTGGAAATATTCCTAACCTTCATTATATTTAACTGTTTAAAATGATGATTGAGGGCTTTATCATACCAGTTGCAGAGTCATCCTGGAGGATCAAGCTAACTCCTAGAGAGGTTACCTTGCTAGGAATTTTTTAGGTCCTAAATGGTGAATCTCTGGTGGAAGTAGTTCATTTCAATAGCGTTCACTATTGTTCACCATTTTCTGATTTCACTCTAAATTTAGGGCTGTCTCCCCTGCGGATATGGGGTTGTCTTATACCACGGCTCAACAAAAACATTTTTTTTCTTAGTGTCTTGGTTTTTAGATCTGTTCCTGGGATTATTTGGGGAAGTGATTCAGAAAATGGCATTGAATAGACCGCATCAGCTCCAGGTTCTTCGATATGGTTATTCTTTTTTTATGGGAGAGAAGATCGTGACTGGTATATGGCATATGTTCTGTATCTCAAAAACTAGAGGTGATAAGAGGGGAAAAGTGGTACCATTTTTGGAATCTGCAAACCAAATATACCCGGAAATGAGACTAATATTTGAGGCACCAAAATCTGTGTTGGCCAGTGTAATCCATTACTCACAAGCCACCACATATTTGGACCTCATACTCATGATTTCAGTGAGATTTATGGTTGAATGAGGAAGTGAATCTCCGTCTCCCACAAACCAAGATGATCCCTGATGACTCAGACCTAGTTGAAGTCCATCTCCTTTTCCTCCTCCCAGAATACCGATTCTCTAGATTTTTTAATATAATCTGGATGACTATTGGCCCAAAACGCTCAACAGTAACACATGGTAGACTGGTGACAAACTATGAAGAATAATTACAATGTATTCATGCATATCTGATATTTTTTCTTAAACCTGGGACTCAGAGCATCTTAGAAAAAACACAATATAAAAAGTACAACTAAAGGTCACCCTGGTCTAGGATCATGCTTCCCAGAGTAACAGCCAGGTTAAGTGATTCATGCCAACTACTCACAAAAAGCAGTTTTCCTGTTAAGTTACACCATAATCTTGCTATTGCAGCGTTTGAGTAATGATCCTTTCTTTGTTTTCATTCATTTCCACCTTGCTCCCCATCTTCTCGCATCAGCTCCATATAGTTCATACTAAAAACAACATGACACTCGAGGAAGCGAAAAAGGACCCCCAGGGACTTGCTGTCCTGGCCTTCTTCATAAAGGTGAGGGCAATGGAATAATGTGGAATTGCAAAATGGAAAATAACCAGAGACAAAGTTGGACTGCTTTAAGAGCCATGTCCTGGGCCCTATAGCAGGATCCTTTGGGGGGGGGGGGTCACAAGGTGGTATCAGAGGGGTCTGTTGGTCATGGGAGTTCTGTGTGCCAAGTTTCCATCATTGGTGGAGTTCAGAATGATCTTTGATTGTAAGTGAACTATAAATCCCAGCAACTACAACTCCCAAATGTCAAGGTTTATTTTCCCCAAACTCCACCAGTGATCACATTTGGGCATATTGAATATTCATGCCAGATTTGGTCCAGATCAATCATTATTTGAATCCACAGTCCTCTCTGATTGTAGGTGAACTACAACTCTAAATCTCGAGGTTAATGCTCATCAAACGCTTCCAGTATTTGCTGTTGGTCATGGGAGACCTGTGTGCCAAGTTTGGTTCAATTCCGTAGTTAGTAGAATTCAGAATGCTCTTTGATGGTGGGTTAACTATAAATCCCAGCAACTACAACTCCCAAATTTCAAAATCAACCCCCCCCCCACCCCACCAGTATTCAAATTTGGATGTATCGGGTACTTGTGCCAAATTTGGTCCAGTGAATGAAAATACATCCTGCATATCAGATATTTAGATTACGATTCATAACAGTAGCAAAATTACAGTTCTGAAGTAGCAATGAAAATAATGTTATGGTTGGGGGTCACCACAACATGAGGATGTATTAAGGGGTCACGGCACTATAGGTTGGGAACCACTGCCATATAGAGTATGGCTCTGCATACAAATGGAAAAGCGAAGTTTTTAGAGACGAGAATTATCTGTAATTGTTGCTCCATCTGTTCCTTTCCCACCAGAAGTCCAATGAGGCCCCCAGTGTCAATACCTGGAAGACTCTAGCAGACCTCCTGGAAAAGATCCCAGAGAAAGGTGAGCCTCATCCTGAATTCCCTGGAAAATAGAGTGATTTTCTTGTCTCTTTCCCTTTCCCCTCTTTATCCCCAGGATTTCCATCTTCCTTCTTTTTTCTTTAGGAAATGCTGTGAATTTGGATGGACAGTTCTCCTTGGGAGGGTTATTGAAGGTGGCAGATGTGAGAAGCTACTACCGCTACTTTGGCTCCCTCACAAGTCCTAACTGCAGCGAGACCGTGACCTGGATTGTCTACCCTCAGCCAATTGAGGTGACTCACAAAACGGTGAGTGGACGACATCATTTTTTTCCAGTTTTGAGGCAGAAATGGTGGCTGAAGAGCACAATCCTTGTCCCGTTAATGAAGAATGGAGACTTGGATGTGAATGCCAGGGTTGATACAGTAGAGTCTCTCTTATTCAACTTTTGCTCATCCAATGCTCTGTATTTTTTTAATATAGCATTTATTAAAGTGTTTGCATATTGTATAAAAATTGAGAGAAAGAAAAGAAAAATAACTTAAATATTTGTACTAATAAAAGGAGAGGGAAGAGAGAGAAAGAGGGGGTGTTAGAAGAGACAAAGAGAGAAAAAAAGTAGGTTAAAATGTATTGTGGAAAGCTTTCATGGCTGGAATCACTGGGTTGTTGTAGGTTTTTCGGGCTATATGGCCATATTCTAGAAGCATTCACTCCTGACGTTTCGCCTGCATCTATGGCAAGCAACCTCAGAGGTTGTGAGGCTTGTGATAGAAACCAGAGAAGGCTATAAATCTGCAATTCCCACAATTCCATTGCATTGAGCCATGGCAATAAAAACTGCATTAATTCTACAGTGTAGATGCACCCTATTTTGTAGCTGTTTCTTGAGGACCTCAATTCAAATACTACAATGTTTGTGTTTTTTTCTTGCACAGGTTTGGGGTTGTTGTTTTTGTTAGTTTGGTGACTCTGGCTAATGTTTTGCTTTTGTTCCCATTTCACTTTCTGAATTTTCTGCAGCTGAAGAAATTCACAGATTCACTCTATTTCACCACTATAGCAGAAGGCAGGAAGATGCAGAAGAATTATCGTCCTCTGCAACCACTGAACAACCGAAAAGTCGGTTACTTCACAGAAAGCAAACATGGACATCCTTACCCAAAACACTGCTCAGCCTCCGGGGAGTTTTGAACCAACAGGAATATGTCTTATGTGTGAGTGAGGATGCACATGTATGTCGCAGCATGACAACCGATTCCATGTTTTCAGATCATCCAAAGAAACACAAACTTACATCCATCGCAACTCTATTATGAATCGTGCCCACCTATGTTTTGCACAAGGGCTCTCTCAAATCCATGGAAGAAAGAGGTTTGCTTCAGTATGGAGAGTGCCTTCTCTTTCACCTCTATTTTGTTTTGGTGGAGAAAGGTCATGACTATATTTTTGCACAACATTAAAATACCAGTATTATCACATATACACACAAGTGTGTTGGTTTGCTTTATGAAAATTGAACCCAAGAAGTTTTGGGAAATCACACATAAATGGGTTGTTGTAGGTTTTTTTCGGGCTGTATGGCCATGGTCTAGAGGCAATCTCTCCTGACATTTCGCCTGCATCTATGGCAACCATCCTCAGAGGTAGTGAGGTCTGTTGGAACTAGGAAAAAGGGTTTATATTGTTACAGTATATGATTTTGTAAGTCTTGACAAGAATCATCTCTTGCTTATATGTGTGTGTTGAGGAAGAACCACTCCCTGATTAGGATGTATATCAGGTGAGGTTTTCTTGATGCAGGTAGTGGGTGAAATGAAGTAATCAGAGATGGAACTATGCTACAAGGTTTGCTGGAAAGAAGCAGATTAATGCATTGTAAGTTTTTTTTTCCTTCTGCGATGGACAATGTGGACAATGTGTTTTCAAGGCTACTGTATTTTTCTTTATAAAGCTACATGTATTAACTACTCCAGAGTAAAGACATTTTCTTTTATACTCTGTGCAAATCAACTTGGGATCTGGAGCTGGGAGGACTGCTGTGTAGATTCAATATAAACTAACAAACCGCAACATATATATCTGTGGAATGACCAGGGTGAGACAAAGGACTCTTTTCTGCTGGAGCTAGGTGTGAATGTTTCAACTGACCACACATAAATGAATTCCCTGCTGTCTTCTCCCCCCCAGCATTTCATAAATGACAATCAGAACAAGCGACACCAGGCAATATCATAGTGTGGTCAAGATAGCAAAAATTACTAATGAGAAAGAATACACAAGCTAGGAGAGGTGCAGCAGTTTGCTTTTGCCTGAGTTTAAGGCGAAGGACAAGACTCTGCCCTCTCCCCCGTTTCTTTTATTATTTTTGTACTTTGAATTCAATTTACAAAAACTGAATTCAGAGCTGAAGATAAAGGAGAGATGTGAAAGGAGGAGAGAGAAACTGGGACATTTCAAAAGCAGCTGGAAAAGGCGGGATGATCAATTGGCGACGTCTTGCCAAATTGCGACAGTTGGAGGGTATGCACGTTTCTTGAATCCGACCAATATTGACAGAAGTAATTTGTTTCTTATTTATTTATTTATTTATGTATACACATACATGTACATATAATATATATTTATATACAGACTAAAACCTTCTAGAGCTAATAGAACAGAATGGCCTCTCACTTTGCTTGTCTAAAAGATAGCTTTGTAGGATCTGGCAGCCAAATATCCACCCCTGGGACCTTTTTGGAGGCTAAATTAAAATAACAAACAAGAAATACACAGAAGTTTTCTTCTCTTCTTTAAAACTTGTTATTTTTTTTTATGTTAAATGCTGCAGGGGGGGATCCCTACAGTCTTATATAAAAGTTTTGTAAGGCCCTTTTACACAACCAGCCATGGCATTGTGACTAAGCTTTCACTGCTATGACTGCATCCTTTGCAATCCTAGGATTTGTAATCTGGTGAGGCACTTGACCTCTCCGTTTTTTAAATTGTGTCAGAAGCAGCTTGGGAATATATTGCAAGCTGCTTCTGGTGTGAGAGAATTGGCTGTCTGCAAGGACGTTGCCTGGGGGATGCCTGTATGTATTACCGTCCTGTGAGAAGTTTCTCTCATGTCCCCGCATGGAAAGCTGTGGCTGACAGATGGGAGCTCACCCCATCTCACGGATTCGAACTGCTGACCTACAGGTTGGCAGTTCAGCCGACACAAGGGTTTAACCTATTGTGCCATCGCAGCTCCAGAGTAAGTATCCACATGGGTTTCAGGAGAAAAAATGATACTCCAGAGAAGTTGGTGAGAGAGTCTTAAAAGCAGCATGGAGATTACATGCATAGTGGGTGATGTTAGGTCAATTCTCCATCAATATAACCTACTATTGTCACAATACAATGGCTGATTGTGAGGCATTGATATATACATAATTTGCAGGTTCCTTGGAGGAAGGGTTGGTTAAACATACAACTAACTATACTAGTGGTAAGTGATCCTTCACTGAAATATTTAACACTGCTTATTTCTTTTCATATAAATACACACACACACAAAAGACACACAATTTAATCACTGCACACCTCTTCTTTGCAGGACCAAAGTAGACACAACATCTGTCATGTAATTTAACCATATATACAGTAGTCCTGCTAATCCGACCTTCGCTTATCCGACATTCCGTCTAATCCAACACTCTTATCCAACTCCCCCACTTTCCTCCAGTATTTCCCCTTCAATTAAAGGAGTGCGCCTCAACTCTGTCTCCATTCCCAATAGGTGAAATAGGGAAGACGAAGAGGCAGGAAAATGGGAAAAGAGGCAGGACTGTCCTCACTTCTTCCCTCTGTGATTTCTACTTTCCTCTTCTGCATCCGGGCACTGCCGGATGGGCCAATCTAGCCCCGAGGCATTGCCGTTGAGTCCCTGTTGTTAGTATTCTAGATGTCTAGCACTTTGTTGAATGGGTAACAGTAGGAGATTCTGTATTATCTGACATTTTTCTTTATCTGACATTCTGCCAGCCTGTTTACGTCGGATAAGCGAGACTACTGTAGTTGCTTTTTAAAATATATATTCCTGGAGGCAGTAGTATTTGAGCCGACCTAAGACCCAATTACAAGGAATGCAGGACTTTAGCCTCTTGTCTCGTCTTGGTCCCAGCAGGGAGTGCCTCCTCCCACTGAAGTTGCTGTTTATTTTTTTAAAAAACAACAACACAAGGATAAAGTACGTGACAAATGTCAGTGTCTAGTTTGGCACTACGTCGCAGCTTATTCCCAATTCCTGGTCAAAACTATATTTGTAACATTAGAAAAGTCTCGAAGGAGTGATTAGTAAATAACATTCTTTTGTCTTCCCACGCTTTCAAGCTCCCACTTTGTAAGGGCTGTTTTCAAACAAACAATTCTCTGCCCCGCATCTTTGGGGAGTAGTTTGTATCTTAATAAATTATAGGCCTTTGTCATCAAAGGTTATGGAAATCCGCTCTGCAATTAAAGAATTAAAGCACAACAATAAGCAGGAACAAACGGATGCCAGTATTAAAGGGGAAGATGAGGTAGTTCAGAGTTCATTGTTTGCTCCAGTTTTCCAACTAAGAAGAGATCCAACTAAGTTGCTATTTACTCAGTCCATAGCACGATAGAAAGAGATCCAGCCTGATGTTGATGCTGTAGGCAACTGTGAGATAGGCATGGAATAGGATGGAATGGTGATCTGGTGTTAGATTAGTGGTTCTCAACTTGTGGGTCCCTGGATGTTTCGGCCTTCAACTCCCAGAAATCCTAACAGCTGGTAAGGTGGTTGGGATTTTTGGGAGTTGTAGGCCAAAACACCTGGGGACCCACAGATTGAGAACCACTGTGTTAGATAAATATGTGAATGGGCCATTTAAAATCATCACCAGACGTACATGATCCTAGGTCCCATCTATACTTTCATATAAAGAAGTTTGAATTGCATTATATTGGTCAATGTGGACTCATATAATGCAAGTTGAACTGGGTTATAAGTCTACACTTCAATGCAGTATATTTGCATTCTGAAACTGCATTATATGCAGTGCAGACGGGGTCCTAGTCCCAAGGAATATAAACTCTGCCACAAATAGAGCTGAAATTAATTCTGAAGGTTAGACCTTAAAATGTTTCGTACTGAGAAAGCTGAACCTTTGAAATCTGTAAGTTTTGGGGTATGATGCATTGATTTGGAAATGTTTCATTGCTCAATGCCTGCTGAAAGAATCTTTGCATTTAAGTCCAAGCAATGAGCTAGAAAATCCAGTCTTATTGTTGTTTTTCAATTATGATCTCTAAGGACTTGTCTACAGGAAAAAAATCATACCTCAAAGGGACTCTTATCCTGACACATGGAGAATGTGACAGCTCATTTAATATGCCTTTGTTTGGGATTTAATCCTTTTAAAAAAACAAACAAAAAGACTTGCCTTTTCTCCTACATCAGGAATACTCCTAAAGAATTCCTGATGTTTTGGTTATGTGGCACATCTATCCAGGTCGCATCACTTTGCTTTGTAGTTGGGTGGAAGAGTCAGCGGTGGGTGGTGAGCATTTCCACCAGGGTGCTGGTCATTGACCATGATAAATATAATATAATATAATATAATATAATATAATATAATATAATATAATATAATATAATTTCCACCAGGAAGTGGCTCCCTCCTGGCTTTAATTTTATTTCTTTTTTTTAAAAAAAGAAGGTGTGCAAATAAGTGCAAATATATATTAGCATTAGTATAACTCCACTTAACAGAAAATATACTTATTGGTGTGTATGATGAGTGGGGTGGGGAGTGGAGCACTCATATCCATGTGATTGAAAATAATGCAAAGGATTGGAAATACAGATCACTCACTAACAGCAAGGTGAATTCGCCAAATGGAAATGTGTGGCCAGATACTGCCATCTTACCACAATGTGATATGTGTGGTGTTAAGGGGTCACGGAATGTGGATCAGGAAAATGCGGTGTTGGACATTGCAGGAAAAGAGACTCTAAATTGCAAGGGAAAAAGGCTTCCTGACAGTAATGACTATTCTTCAGTGGAATATGCTGCCTGGGACAATGTCAAAGGTTTCCCCTGACATTAAGTCTACTCATGTCCGACTTGGGGGAAGGGGGTGAAGCTCATCTCCATTTCTAAACTGAAGAGCCAGCGTTGTCCGTAGACGCCTCCAAGGTCATGTGGCTGGCGTGACTGCATGGAGTGCTGTTACCTTCCTGCCAAAATGGTACTTATTGATCTACTTATGTTTGTATGTTTTCTAACTACTAGGTTGGCAGAAGCTGGGGCTAACAGTGGGAGCTCACCCTACTCCCCAGATTTGAACCGTCAACATTTCAATTGGCAAGTTCAGCAGCTCAGTGGTTTAACCCTGTGTCACTAAGGGGCCTGGGACAATGGTAGAGCCTCCTTTTCTGGGGGCTTTTAAGCAGAGGCTGTATGGCCATCTGTCAGGGGTGCTTTGATTGTGTGTTCCTGTATGGTAGATTGGGGTTGGACTGCATTGCCCTTGGGATCTCTTCCAATTTTATGATTCTATGGTATAACTGTGTTCATCAGTGTAGACAAGCTCTAAGATTGTGGATGTCATTCAAGAGGTAACTAGTTTAGAAGTCTGACTTCAGCTCTAGTTTTGACAGACTGCAATTGCTTTCGAAATACAGGCCAAAAAGTTGGAACTTTTTCTCATCCATAGTCCTGTTCTTGCTGGAAAATGGACCTCACACTTAGTGTCACCTGCCATTAGCGTTCTGCTACTGGATGAGCTGGGCTGATAGGTAAATGGAGACAAAACAGGAGTTTCCAGAGGGCAGGAAAGATGGTTGCTTAGCTTTGAAGTCTTTTGTAGATCTTTCCAGCTCACCTTTCCATGTCGTTCCTGCTTCTCCCAACCTTTAGAAAAGTAAGGAGGAGGCCAGAGAAGTGATGGAAAGGAAGAGAAGCAACGTGGCCGACTGAGAGATGAGTGAGGAAGGAGAGCTGGACCTCAAACCAGCAGATCTTTCCACCTTCCGGTCCCCAAGTTTCTGTTGGGGACGGAAGTTGTTCTTTATTGGGGGCCCACTGGAGGAATCGGTTGAACGCAGTTCAGATGGGAAAGCTTCTACCTATTAAGAGAAAGAGAAAAAGAAACTCACACCAGGGAAAGTGGCAAAATGGGAGGAACCTTTGGGTTTATGGGGAAGGCATGGGATGTATGTGGTCCTCTGAATTCCCAAATGCTCCCCCTCGAAACTTTCCCATCCCTTTCCATCCCTACTCACCACTTTGGGTGGCACCAGGATTGGGTCCGTAAAGAGGGTCCAAATGACTACCTCATTGCATTGTGGGGTGGTGAGGGAGCCACGGTAGCGGTAATAGGTGGTAAGGTTTGTGGTGCCCAAAAGGTCCAGCAGAGAGACCGTACTCCTGAGATCTTCATCTTGGTCTACACAGGGAAAAGGAGAGATGGTCACTGTAAAAATGTATAGCAACTTCAAGCTAGCATTAACAATAAGTACACTGGCCAACACACATTTTGGTGCCAAAAATGTTAGCCCTGTTTCTGGGTATATATGACCTGCTGATTCCAAAAATGGCACCGCTTTCCCCCATCAGCTCTAGTTTTCAAGCTACAAGATATAAACCATATACCAGTCACCATCTGTTCACCCATAGAAAACCCCCTCTATACTGCCATATAAAATCCAGATAATTTTCTTTGAACTGGATTATATGGCAGTGTAGACTCCTACAATCCAGTTCAAAGCAGATAATGTGGGTCATCTTTGATAATCTGGATGATATGGCAATGTAGAAGGGGCCTTAGTGTCTAAGGTGCTACAAGATCCCTTTACAGAGCCTCAGGGCCCTTCCACACAGCCATATAACCCAGAATATCAAGGCAGATAATCCACAAGGTCTGATTTGAACTGGGTTATCTGAGTCCATACTGCCATATAACACAGTTCAAAGCATATAATCTGGGATTTTATACAGCTGTGTGGAAGGGACCCAAGGTTGATAATCCACAATATCTGCTTTGAACTGGATTATCTGAGTCCACACTGCCATATAATCCAGTTCAATGTGGACTTTACACAGCTGTGTGGAAGGGGCCTGGATCCCAGGATCTGATACCAGATTATCTGTTTCTTCTTCTTAATATTATTATTATTGTTGTTATTATTAATAGTTTATGTATATGCTGCCCTCTCTTCCCAAGGGGACTCAGGTTATCTGGCAGTGAAGACTCATATATTCCAGCTTAAAGCAGATAATCTGATCCTGGAATAAAGGGCAGTGTAGAAGGACCCTCAATTTAGCGTCTAGCAAATGTTCAGGGGAGATTTGCTCAAGGACCCTATTCATTTATCTCTTTAGCATCCCATGGTATCCATAAAATTTTTCTCTAGTGCCACATTTCAGATATGCTGATTTCCTTCCACACCCATACATAACAATCAGGGGGACAACATTATTGTATATAAAAGTAATACATGAACAGATTAATGATAGCTCCTAGTTCAGTATTAAGGCGTAAACAAGATATTGGAATCCTCGTGGACAACAAGTTAAACAAGAGCCAACAATATCATGCGGCGGCAAAAAAACAAAAAACAAAAAAACAAAAAACAAAGAAACAACAAATGGGATTTTGGTCCGCATCAATAGGAATCTAGTGTCTAGATCCAGGAAAGTCATGCTACTCCTCCATTCTGTCTTGGTTAGACCACACCTGGAATATTGTGTCCAGTTCTGGGCACCACAATTGAAAGGAGATGTTGACAAGCTGGAATGTGTCCAGAGGAGGGTGACTAAAATGATCAAAGGTCTGGAGAACAATCCTTATGAGGAGCTGCTTAAAGAGCTGGACATGTTTAGCCTGCAGAAGAGAAGGCTGAGAGGAGACATGATGAGGGTCATGTATAAATATGTGAGAGGAAGTCATAGGGAGGAGGGAGCAAGCTTGTTTTCTGCTGCCCTGGAGACTAGGATGTGAAACAATGACTTCAAACTACAGGAAAGGGGATTCTGCCTGAACCTAGCCGTGAGAACTGTTCAGCAGTGGAACTCTTTGCCCTGGAGTGTGGTAGAGACTCCTGGAGTGTGGTGGAGGCTCCTTCTTTGGAGGTTTTTAAACAGAGGCTAGATGGTCATCTGTTGGGAGTCATTGAATGCGATTTTCCTGCTTCTTGGCAGGTGGTTGGACTAGATGGTCCTGGAGGTCTCTTCCAACTCTATGATTCTACGATTCTAAGGTCAACTATCATCAATGTATTGAAAAGTCAAGGATTCTTGTAAAATGAGGTTCATCTGGAAGGGAATAATTATAATAATTGCATTGTTTTCACATTGAATAAAATCTATAATGAAGAAATGGCAGAATATGGTTTGTCAGAAGTGGGCAGAACCTTGACTTAGCCAACAGACTCACCTTTTTCAGGGACTTTCTGGAGGTTCTTTATAAATTCTTCCCAGGCTTCGGCTGCCTTTCCCTTCGACTTAGCCGCCTCTGAGCCCTGATGGAAAAAGACATTGGTCAGATGTAACACAGAAGAAGTGAAGAAAGAGCCCAGAAGTTCTTCAGTATCTTATTTGATTTTCCCCTAACTGTCATGGTTTAACCTTTAACAACAGTTTAAAGTGGTGTCAAACTGCATTAACTCTGCAGTATAGATGCACCCCTAGGTAAAGGTTTCCCTTGACATTAAGTCTAGTCATGTCCAACTCTGGAGGGTGGTGATCATCTCCATTTCTAAGCCAAGAGCTGGCATTGTCTGTAGATACCTCCAAGGTCATGTGGCCAGCATGTCTGCATGGAGCGCCATTACCTTCCTGCAGAAGCGATACCTATTGATCTACTCACATTTGCATGTTTTTGAACTGCTAGGTTGGCAGAAGCTGGGCCTAACAGTGGAAGCTCACCCCATTCCTCGGATTCGAACCGCCAACCTTTTGGTCAGCAAGTTCAGCAGCTCAGTGCTTTAATCCGCTGCACCATCGAGGCTCCTCAATGCACCCCCAAATATCACAAAATAGGTACAAGCTGATATTACAATAGATTTTGTGAGATGGTATGATCTTTCTTTCCCTTACCTCAAGAAAAAATCCCAGCACAGCAATGCCTTCTGGGTCCTTCACGGCATCCGATATATTCATGTTGTTTTTGGTGTGGACAATATGTAACTGTGGAGGGCAAAAACACGATTAGCTTGGCACGCATCTATTCGCGGGTATGTTAAAACCATTACATGCTGGAAATATGTCATCATGGGTTCTTTTGTTTCCTGGGCCATTTCTCACACCTAGCAGACTTTAGCTTGGAAACCTTTATTTTAACCCAAAGTATATAATCTGTACCACAAGTTATGCAGCATTTTGCAAAGAATGCTTGAAAAATTTGGATTATATCAGTAGCCATGCTCGCTTGGACATTCTGGGACTTCATAAAAGGGTGCATCTACTCCAACAATGGTCAAACTTCAGCCCTCCAGGTGTTTTGGACTTCAACTCCCACCATTCCCAACAGCCTTAGTGGCTTAAGCGGCTGAGGGGGGAAAAGAAAGGGCCTGAGGCTGCTAGGAATTGTGGGAGTTGAAGTACAAAACACCTGGAGGGGCAAAGTTTGCCCATGCTCGGTCTACACTGTAGAATGCATGCAATTTAACACCACTTTAACTGCCCTGGGTTGATGCTATAGAATCATGGGAGTTGTAACCTTCCCTGTCTAAGAGTGCTGATGTGTCACCAAACTACAACTCCCAAGATTCCATAGTACTGAGCCCTGGCAGTTCAAGTAGCATCAAACTGCTTTAATTCTACAGTGAAGATGTAATCAGAGAGGCTGAAAGTGAAAGATTCCAAGCTCTGAATTAGTTTGATTGAGTCCAATAGCTCTGAATATTACTGGCAATGACTATGATTGGCTGGGGGATGCTGGGAGTTCCAGTCTCCAAATTAACATTTCCAAGTTCCGTTTACTGTTCAGATAGGGAAAGCTGCAGAAGGAGAAATAATCCCAAGAAAGGCATAGAAGGCATTTCAAGCTTCAAAAGAGGGAGCTCCAAGTCCCTGGAAGGAGAAGAATATGTCCTGACCTCCATAGAGTAGCGTTTACTGTCAATAGTGTGCTCAGATCCTGGCTTGGAGACACCATCTCCCCAATGGAGGTGGAAGGATTTAGCCGTATATGATGATGGAAGGCCATGTCCGCTAAGAGAGAGCCCATCTTCAAGTTCTACGTCAACTGCAGGGAAGAAGAAAAAGAAGGAATATGTTTTTGCAACTGCTGGAAACTCTCACATTCTTCTCTAATGAAACCACCATGCGTGCATCTGCAATATAGAATTAATGCAGTTTGACACCACAACATCCGTAGGGAGACTAAGGTGATTGTTTATAAAGCTATTGTCCGCCCAACCCTGTATATGTCTATGAAACATGGACTGTCTACAGACTTCACACTCAACTCCTAGAACAGGGGTCCTCAAACTAAGGCCCGAGGGCCAAATCTGGCTCCCTAAGGTCATTTACCTGGCCCTCACTCAGGGTCAACCTAAATCTGAAACGACTTGAAAGCATACAGCAGCAACAACAACAACAGAGAATGGCTTCTCTGTGTAGTCCTGAGGTTGTGAGAGTGGTCCAGCATTTCTGTGTTCTCAAAATTATTATTATTACTATGTATTTAGACTTGGGTCTCATCCCAAACACCCAGAAATCTATCTATCTATCTATCTATCTATCTATCTATCTATCTATCTATCTAAAGCAGGGATCCTCAAACTAAGGCCCGGGGGGCAGATACGGCCCTCCAAGGTCATTTACCTGGCCCTCGCTCAGGGTCAACCTAAGTCTGTAATGACTTGAAAGCACACAACAACAACAATCCTATCTCATCAGCCAAAAGCAGGCCCACACTACCCATTGAAATACGAATAAGTTTATGATTCCAACAGTTTTGCCTTCAAAAAATCCTCCAAATGTCTTGGAAAGTCAGGTAAACAAATGTCAGCATGATGGAAGAAGCAAAGTACACCAGAACTGAAGCGATGCTCCTACGCCATCAACTCCACTGGACTGGCCACGTTATCCGAATGCCCGATCACCATCTCCCAAAGAAGTTACTATACTCTCAACTCAAGAATGGGACAGAAAATTGTTGGTAGCAGGAAAAGAGATTTAAAGATGGGTTTAAAACCAACCTAAAAAACTGTGGTATAGACACTAAGAAGCCCTGACCCTCGAGTGCTCTAAGTGGAAGTCAGCTGTGACCAGCAGTGCTGCAGAATTCAAAGAGGCACGATAGGGTGAAAGAGAGAAACATGGCAAGAGGAAGGCATGCCAAGCCAACCTTGACTGGTACCTCCTTCCATCTGGAAACTAATGTCCTCACTGTGGGAGAATAGGCGGATCAAGAATAGGGCTCCACAGCTACCTACAGACCAACTGCCAAGACACTACACTTGGAGGACCATCATCCTTGGCCTACGAGGGATTGCCTAAGTAAGTCAGTTCCATTTGTTTCAACAACGCAATTACAAGACAGCAGGCTGGCGCAATAAAGCCATAATTGTATAGTGTGAAAAGGCCTTAAGCTAATATCAGTCATCACAGCTATTTTATGGAACAGTCACCTGTTCTCCCGGTGTTCTTGATCACCAGCAGTTTTTTGCTGTCTTCATAGCTGGTGAGGTTCACTGCGCCCAGTTTAGAGTTAAGGATGGATTCACGTGAAATGATGTTGATGGGGGACTGTCTCTTGCCACCACAATGACCGCTCGATATCCACGTGTTAGGGCCTTGGCAAGGAAAAGCAGAGAAAGAGTCAAGATTGGTCCCCGCATAGTAATTAGTGCTCGATAAAGAAACAGAAAAGAGTTGCCAAGACTCTAGTCCTCATGCAAGCTTGTTATACTCTTACTTCCATCTATAGTCCTCTCATTTAATCTAATCTTATTTTTTACAATTAGGTTATGGTTCCATGTTGTGGGGGAAAGTGCTCTCTGCACATAGTGTCATAGAGGTGGAGGGGCCTTTTAGGCCAACTCCCAACCATACAGGAATATATACAGGAACCAAAGCACTCCTGAAAGATGACCATCCAGTCTTTGCTTCAAAACCTCTACAGAAAGAGGCTCTACCAGTGCTGAACTTCTCTTATCATCAGGCAGTTCTTCCTAATGGTTATGTAGAATCTCTTTTACTGCCATTTGAATCCATTGATCTGTGTCTTGGTTTCTAGGGCGGCAGATAATAAGCTGGTCCTCTGCTTGATATGCCATCCTTTTGGATTTTTCAACATGGCTGTTTACCAATACATTCCAACCATTACATAGCAATGGTTGGAGTTCTGATGTGAGGAAGCATGGTTCTAAAAGCAGGAATGAGCAAACCCAGGCCTGAGGGCCGGATGCAGCCCCTCGGGCTCTTTTCTCAGGCCCTCCTCTGTCTCATCATCTTATCCTTTCTTCATTCTCTTTTTCCTTCCTCCTTCCCTCCCTCCTTTTCTCCTTCCCTCTTTTGTTTGATCTTGTCATTTGGGAGTTGTAGTTGCTGGGATCCATAGCTAACCTAACATCAAAGAGAATTCTGAACTCCGCCAACAATGGAATTGAACCAAACTTGGCACACAGAACTCCCATGACCAACAGAAAATACTGGAAGGGTTTGGTGGGCATTGACCTTGAGTTTTGGAGTTGTAGTTCACCTACATCCAGACAGCGCTGTGGACTCAGACAATGATGGATCTGGACCAAACTTGGCATGAATACTCAATATTCCCAATTGTGAACACTGGTGGAGTTTTTGGGAAATAGGCCTTGACATTTGGAAGTTGTAGTAGCTGGGAGTTATAGTTCACCTACAATCAAAGAGCATTCTGAACCCCAGTGATAGAATTGGACCAAACTTCCCACACAGAACCCCCATGACCAACATAAAATATTGTGTTTTCTTATTGTCTTGGTGACCCCTCTGATACCCCCTTGTGACTTCCCCAGTGGTCCCAACCCCCAGGTTGGGAAACACTCATTTAGAGGTTTTTCCCATATTCTTCCTGTGTCCTTTTTATTCCCAATTGTGAACACTGGTGGAGTTTGGGGAAAATAGACCTTGACATTTGGGAGTTGTAGTTGCTGGGATTTATAGTTCACCTACAATCAAAGAGAATTCTGAACCCACCACATGATAGAATTGGGCCAAACTTCCCACACAGAACCCCCATGACCAACAGAAAATACTGTGATTTCTGATAGTCTTTGGCGACCCCTCTGCCAACCCCCCTTGCGACCCCCCCCCCGTGGTCCTGACCACCAGGTTGAGAAATGCTGGTCTATCGGAGGTGCTTTGATTGTGCCTTCCCACATGGCTGGGGGTTGGACTGGATGGCCATTGGGGGTATCTTCTAGCTCTAGGATTCTATATCAGAAATAGACAATGCAGCATCTAATGAATACACTTTTTCTCTCCCGACCACCATCTCATCCAAGGCCAAGGCCAACCCTTTTGGGATCCAAACGTTTCCCATATTTCCTTCACTTTCTGCCTCCGAAAGAGAAGAGGAAGCGGAGAAAGGACAGGGAGGGGGCTTGGGGACAACCCCTGCTTTCCGACCTGCCTACCCCGCTCCGCCTGACATGTGGCCCCCGAGTTAGAAAGACATGTGGTCCCTGAGTTTCCCATGCCTGCTCTAAAGAATAAGGTTTTCTTCAGATTTTTTGGAGCAAAGAGAATGGCAGCTATTTTGTTTCTTACCACAGTGTGCTTCATTGTAGCACCAGGAATCTATAAAGGAAATAAACAGAGAAGGTATAAACTTAGCTAAAAGAAGTCCAAACATGAATCTGTACTGTGGAATCAATACAGTTTGACACTACTTTAACTGTCATGCTCAATGACAGGAAAATTATAACTTTACAAAACCTTTAGTCTCACTAAACTCTCATGATTCTATAGCATTGAATCTTGACAGTTAAAGTGGAGTCAAACTGCATTAATTCACAATGTAGTCACACAATGGTAGAAATTGATTCCATCAACAAGGAATTCAACTTTTCCCCTCCCCATAGCAAAAAAATATATGATATTTCCCAGGTGTGGAAGGAGATGCAAAGGTGTTACCTGCAGAACTGGAGTAGTGTCCTCCCAAGAGCAAAAGGACCACTGTAAGAACTGCTCGCACCCAGACAGAAGCCATTGTGTGTTGTGAGAGCTATGAAGAAAAGTATATAATAAAACAAATTACGTACAGTTCCTAAGTAAGCATGAGTAGATAGAAATCCAGGGAATTTACCAGTTCCTATTTGGCAATGTTGGTTGCAGAGGGAAGAAGGATGACTAGATCACACGGTCAACATATGGCATCTCTATTTTTACTCTTTAAGGTGGTTTTAGCATATTTTCTTTGGCAACCATGAGATGTAGAAAGCTGCCATCTTTTGAGCAAAGAATTCAGTATTCTGTCATTTGGACAGCTCAGATGTTCACAAGGCATGTGGAATGACAACATGAATATATGCTAAACATATCGGTGGGTGTGAGTCTTGTAGCCCACAATATAGCAAGGCATACATAGAAATACAATGTGTGCTCAGGTCAAAGGTTAACCTCTGGCTGACAAAAGTTAGTCAATTGGACAGGTCATCTTAAAGTCTGCAAAAAAGAGATAAACTCTGGTACACCTTGAAATGAAAAGCAATTGGAGTGATCACAACTGAAACGAATTTCCTCCTAAGATAGAACTTAGGAGGAAATGTCCATATTCACTACACCAGAATGAGTTGGCAAGGCTTCAAATGCAGAAGAAAGATCTTATCAGATTTTTTTGATGTTTATGTATAACAGCATCTAGACCAGGTATGAGCAAACCCAGTCCTTGGGGCCGGATGCAGCCCTTTGGGCTCCTTTCTCAGACTCTCCTCTCTCTCACCATCCTATCCTTCCATCCTTTTCTCCTTCCTCCTTCCTTCTTTCTCCCTCCCTCCTTCCCTTCCATCCCTTTATCTTCCTTCCTTCTTTCGCATACATTACCTTAAGGGTCAATTCACATCATTTGGTCCTTCAGTCTCTATTCGTACTATTTCACATCTTGTCTTGACGAACAATACCTCTATATCAACATTTCTCCATAATACCGTCTCTTTTCACTTACCTCCAATCCATGTCCTATGTCCTACCAAAAATTTTGTCACTTAATTACTTCCTTACCGCAATTTAATTAATTACTCTAGCATTACAAATTCATATGTTTCATTACGTTCATTCCTCCTTCCTTATATTTCCTCTTACTTATGTTCCCTTTATTTCATATCCATCCTCATTTCCGTTCCTTTCTCCTCCCTCCCTTCCTTCCTCTCCCTCCCCCCTTCCTCCCTTCCCTTTTGTCCTTCCTTCTCTTTTTCCTTCCTCCTTCCTTTCCTTCCTTCCTTCCATCCTTCTCTTCCTCCCTTTCATCCTTCCCTGTCTCTTTCTTTCCTCCTTCCCTTCCTTTCATCACCGGGCAGCCAGTCCTCTTCGCAGGGAATGCTAGAATGAGGCCCCCAAATTAGAATGTTTTTCCATGCATTCCTTCCTTCATCTTTCTTTCCTTTTGTCTTTCCTTCTTCCTTCCCTCTTTCCTCCCTCCTTCCCTCTCTCCCTTCCATCCTTCCCTTCCTCTCTTCCTTCCTTCCTTCTTCTTTCCTTCTTCCTTCCCTTCCTTCCTTCCATCACTGGGCAGCCAGTCCTCTTCACAGGGCGTGCTAGCATGCAACCTCCAAGTTAGAAAGTTAGCCCATGCCTGATCTAGACAGTCCCCATATCTCTAAATCGATTAAATTCAGTCTATGTAACACAGTTTTTGTTTCTGGATTATGAATGTGATTTCCTAATTGGTTCTTTCATGAAAACACGGAAAAAGTTTATTAAACTGCAAAAACTTTGTATTTTCAGGACATCCTGCAGCACACTTTGCTATAATTTTTCAAGTGAATATCTCATAAAGTCTCAACCAATTCAACATAGTTTGTGACAGCCTCAAAAATAAAGTTTCTGGAGAATAAAAAACTACTTTCAAAGTAAGCACTACACAATTAAACATGAAATAAAACTTTCAATCCAGGAACAGATTTTTCAGATTTTGTTACATAATATTATCTAACTGCATTATGGCAGTGTTATACCTTTCCGTCGTATCTTTGAACATTTTGCAATTGAAACCCAGTACCCATGAAACCATGTAAGTGTGGTCACAATGGAAGAAAAGGAGAGACTGCATCATTATGCTTTTGCTTGAGCCAACTGAGAAGAGAAAAATTCCCTCCTTTTCCTCTTCTCTCCCCTCCCTCTCCTGAATTAATTAAATGTAAACTATTATTTTAATGTTTCAGCAATTGAAATAAGGTGAGGAGAATGAGAAGAAAGGGGAAAATACAAACTGGGACAACTTAAAAGCAGCTGAAAAAATTGAAGGACAGGGAATGAAATTGCGATTGTGATTCACAATTGGGACAATTGTAGTGTATGATATTTGGCATGCCGAAGGTATATAAAGTGTTCTCTGTTAGATTCATCTATAGTTTTGCATCCAAATGAGAAGAAGGAAAGGGATTTCAGTGTGACAACACAGTACTAAAAGGCTAGTGCAAGTGTTAAATTTTCTGTGTTGGAGCAAATGCACGAATCACACATTATGTGCAAATTATTGCATGCACATAGTTTTTCCTTGTGTGTAGAGATGAAGGGAAACTATGAGAAGTTGCTGCAGTGAGGAATGTACATATAAACATAGCAAAAAAGGCAAATGTAGAAATGGTCTTCTATTCAATGTTCTTGTGTCTACTCCTGTGCAGGAATAATCATAACTCAATATCTATTTTGTATATACAGTAGAATCTCATTTATCCAACCTTCGCTTATCCAGCGTTCTGTATTATCCAACGCATTCTGCCTCCTGCCCAGATTGACAGCTGTTTCAATACATTGCAATATTTTGGTGCTAAATTCGTAAATACAGTAATTACTACATAACATTACCATGTATTGAACTGCTTTTTCTGTCGATTTGTTGTAAAATATGATGTTTTGGTGCTAAATATGTAAAATCAGAATGTAATTCTTCCTTATTACCCAACATTTCCGCTTATCCAACGTTCTGCTGGCCCATTTATATTGGAGAAGCGAGACTCTATTGCAGTTCAAAAGGCAATTGGAACAGTAGTCCTTTTCTTAGAGGGACGGTGACTATGTCTTCCAGGGTCTTCAGGCTAGTAGCTATAGTTGTTGGATCATTCTGGGATTTGTAGTCCAAGGAATTACATTTTCAAGCTTAGATTTCAAGGTGCGTAGCAGAAGAAATGAACTAGAGACTGGCCTCCCATCAGATTTTCCAAATGTATTATGTTCTGCATTCTTAAGTTGAGGGTTCGATGTCCTGCTGATGCAGCACTACAACTGTAGAACCCAGCAGCCTTAAAAGAAAGCAAAAAACCCTCCCCAAATCCTTTCAGTAACCTCAAAATGAGCTGAAAGCTAAGCTCAACAAGCGGAAACAATGATACTTCTTCTGAATGTTACTGCTATTCACAACAACACTAAACATGAGGAATTGTTGTTGTTGTTGTTTATATATTTTTATCCTGCTTTTCTCCCATGGATGGAACTCAAAAGCAGCGAACAAAATAAAAACTATATAATACAGATAACCATCATCTCCCATCCCGACATATAAACAATACATCAACATGTTGCTGTAACTGGGTTGTTATAGGTTTTTTCGGGCTATATGGCCATGGTCCAGAGGCATTCTCTCCTGATGTTTCGCCTGCATCTATGGCAAGCATCCTCAGAGGTAGTGAGGTGAGAATGCTTGCCATAGATGCAGGCGAAACATCAGCAGAGAATGCCTCTAGACCATGGCCATATAGCCCCAAAAAACCTACAACAACCCAGTGATTCCGGCCATGAAAGCCTTCGACAATACATGTTGTGGTAAGTTTTTCAGGCTGTATGGCCATGACCATACAGCCAGAAAAATCTACAGCAACCCAGTGATTCCGGCCAGGAAAGTCTTCGACAATATATTAGCATATTGCGTTAAACACAAATTACATAAATATCAATAAGCCTAGAAATAATTATATATATCAGATGGGACAGTCATCAGCATCAACACATTCAAACACAGATAAGACAAATTTCTTAAGTAAAGGTCTCCCAATAGCTGCTACCTATGAAAACCAAATACATCATCCCTGCTGAGAGACAGTCTACCTGTGAACACTAGATACTAAGAACTAACAACAGAGGCTCAATCTACAGTGCCAGATAATTAATTCAGTTTGATCCTACATTGTATGGTCAGTATTTCAAACTGCATCATATGTCAGTATAGATCCAGACAAGAGATGGAACATCTTCTTGATGTTCTCCTTATCTCCAGACAGAGGCATCGGGTTTTCTGATAGCTTTTATGAAAAGGACACAGGAAGAATATGTGAGTGATTAAGTTTCTAATTAAAATCCTCCAAATGAGTATTTCCCAACCTGGGGGTTGGGACCCCTGGGGGAGTCACGAGGGGATATCAGAGGGGTTGCCAAGACAATAAGAAAACACAATATTTTATGTTGGTCATGGGGGTTCTGTGTGGGAAGCTTGGCCCAATTGTCTCATTGGTGGGGTTCAGAATGCTCTTTGGTTGTAGGTGAACTATAAATCCCAGGAACTACAACTCCCAAATGTCAAGATCTATTTTCCTCAAAGTCCATTAGTGTTCACATTTGGACATATTGAGTATTTCTGCCAAGTTTGGTCCAGATCCATCGTTGTTTGAATTCACAGTGCTCTTTGGGTGTAGGTGAACTACAACTCCAAAATTCAAGGTCAGTGCTCACCAAACCCTTCCAGTATTTTCTGTTGGTCATGGAAATTCTGTGTGTCAGGTTTGGTTCAATTCCATCATTGGTGGAGTTTAGAATGCTCTTTGATTGTAGGTGAACTATAAATCCCAGCAACTACAACTCCCAACTGACAAAAACGATCCCCCCCAACCCCATCAGTATTCAAATTTGAGAGTATGGAATATTTGTGCCAAATTTGGTCCAGTGAATGAAAATACATCCTGCATATCAGATATTTACATTTCAAGTCATAACAGTGGCAAAATTACAGTTATGAAGCAATGAAAATAATGTCACCACAACATGAGGAACTGTATTAGGTATTAGGAAGGTTGATAAACGCTGCTCAAAACTTACAAAACGTTTTGTTTAATCACAGATAAATGCTTTGTTTGCATTGTCTGTTTGGATGCTCTGTTTCCGCATCCATCGGATGACCAGAGACACACCAGTGTTAAGAAATACTTATGTGAAACTAATTTATCTTTTTCAAATGAACCTGTTTGTTTCTATTGGGGGTCTTTTAGTGGTGGCCCCTGAAGGAGACCAGGCCAGTCCCCCAAACACCCCTCCATTTGTCCCCCCAACTCCAAGGAGGCTCACTTACCTGCCAAGTGGCTATCTGTTTCCCTCCTGCTGGACAAGGTGATACCAGAGGTGGTAAGAGAGCATCCAGCTTCTTTTACAAATATACATATATATGCATTAAGGTCACCGCCCAGTCTGCTACTGGGGCGGGTGGAATTACCGAGAAAGGGAGGGTAGTAGATTACAAGGAAGGAGGAGGGAAGGAGAAGATGCAGGCAGGGAGGCAAGCTGGAGAAAGTTAGCCAGGCTCCTGACAGTTCCATGGGTTCAGCACCATTCCTGCGGAGAGAAGAGAGTTGGTGAACAAGGGATGTGAGCAAGCAAGTTACACAATTTAGGAAATGATCACGCCTTTCAACACGAGAAAGGGCACGTTCCAGTTTCTCAAAGGTAGCTTCTTGCCCACCCAGAAGACAGGTACTGGTCTAACTACTAGATCATGCTCCCTTTGGAAAAAGTAGTTTCTTCACTTCTACAAGGTGCTTGCTTACCTTTTAGAGCAGGTATGGGCAAACTTTGACCCTTCAGGTGTTTTGGACTTCAACTCGCACAATTCCTAACAGCCGGTAGGCTGTTAGGAATTGTGCGAGTTGAAGTCCAAAACACCTGGAGGGTCAAAGTTTGCTCATGCCAGTTTTAGAGGATGAAGGAGTGGACAGCAATCCAAACCGCTACATCTACACTGTAGAATTGATGCACTTTGACACCACTTTAACCACAAGGGAGGGGAAAGAAAAGGAGCTGAGGCTGTTAGGAGTTGTAGGAGTTCAAGTCCAAAAACACCTGGAAGTCATGGGAGTTTGGTAGAGAAGGATACAAAACTTGTAGTTTTACAAAGCCTTTAGCCTTCTGCATCAAAGAGTGCTGTGTCTCACCAAATGACAACTCCCCAGATTGCATAGCATTGAGCCATGGCAGTTAAAAATGGTATCAAACTGCATTAAATCTACAGTGTAGTTGCACCCTATGTCACTCTAAACCAGGCATGGGCAAACTTCAGTCCTCCCAGTGTTTTGGACTTCAACTCCCATAATTCCTAACAGCTGATAGGCTGTTAGGAATGGTGGGAGTTGAAGTCCAAAACACCTGGAGAGCCAAAGTTTACCCATGCCTTCTCTAAACCCCAGTCCTCCGCTAGTAACCTAGAACAACTACAGTCATCCCTCCGCATCTGCGGTTTAGGCTATTCACGGATTTGATTATTTGCGGATTTGATTTAAAATTTTCTCTCTAGGATCTCCGATGTGACTGTATGGTTAGCTTCCTCCCATCATGCTGGAGAATCTAGTGATTTCTTGAGGAAATAGCTCTCTAGGAATCTCATTCCCTCAATGAGATTTTATAGTTAGCTTCTGGATTCAGAAACTGGATTATATGGCAGTGCAGACCGAACCAAGGCGGCAGGCGGAAGATATTAATGAGGAAGAACACAACCTAGGAGAGGCAGCAGGAGTTTGCTTTTGCCTGAGTCTACTGCAGTGTGTCTCACCCTTCCTAATGCTGTGACCCCATAATACAGTTCCTCATGTTGTGGTGACCCCCAACCATAACACTATTTTCGTTACTACTTCATAAATGTAATTTGCTACTGTTCTGAATCGTAATGTAAATATCTGATATGTAGGATGTATTTTCATTCACCAGATTAAATTTGGCACAAATACCTGATACACCCCAAATTTGGGTGTGTGTGTGTGATTTCTTCATTTGGGAGTTGTAGTTGCAGAGATTTATAGTCCACCTACAATCAAAGAGTATTCTGAGCTCCACCATAAAATCATAGAGTTGGAAGAGACCTCATGGGCCATCTAGTCCAACCCCCTGCCAAGAAGCAGGAAAATTGCATTCAAAGCACCCCCAAGAGATGGCCATCCAGCCTTTGTTTAAACTCTTCCAAAGAAGGAGCCTCTACCACACTCTGGGGCAGAGAGTTCCACTGCTGAACGGCTCTCACAGTCAGCAAGTTCTTCCTAATGTTCAGATGGAATCTCCTTTCTTGTAGTTTGAAGCCATTGTTCCGCGTCCTAGTCTGCAGTGCAGCAGAAAACAGGCTTGCTCCCTCCTCCCTGTGACTTCCTCTCACATATTTATACATGTCTATCATGTCTCCTCTCAGCCTTCTCTTCTTCAGGTTAAACATGCCCAGTTCTTTAAGCTGCTCCTCATAGGGCTTATTTTCCAGACCCTTGATCATTTTAGTCACCCTCCTCTGGACACATTCCAGCTTGACAATATCTCTCTTCAGTTGTGGTGCCCAACAATGGAATTGAATCAAACTTGGCACACAGAACTCCCATGACCAATAGAAAATACTGGGAGGGTCTGGTGGGCATTGAGTTTTGGAGTTGTAGTTCACATACATCCGGAGAGCACTGTGGGTTCAAACAACGATGGATCTGGACCAAATTTGGCACGGATACTCAATATGCCCAAATGTGAACACTAATGGAGTTTGTGGAAAATAGACCTTGACATTTGGGAGTTGTAGTTGCTGAGATTTATAGTTCACCTACAATCAAAGAGAATTCTGAACCCCACCAGTGATAGAATTGGGCCAAACTTCCCACACAGAACTCCCATGCCTTGAAGGGACTTGTTGGCATGAGTCTCCCTCCAGCCTTGTGTGCTCTCCCTCGCCTGTACAACCGCCCCACGCTGCTATGCGCTGAGCATCCCTGCTCTCCCCTCCCCTGTCTGGAGTCTCAGAAACACCCTCCCCTTGACTGAGAGGTCAGCCAATCTCATCAGAGGAGGGCTTTTAGTGGGAAGATTTGCCTTCTGTTTCCAAAAAGGAAGAGAAGGACAGGTGGAGAGATCTTCAGCCTTCTCTGCCAAAGGGGTTCCTAAGCCCCTTGTGACCCTCCCCCCAGGGTTATGACCCCCAGGTCAAGAAACACTGGTCTACTGGGAAGGGCAAGCACTTGTCCCTTTCTCACTGCTGAGTGAAATGAGTGCAAACTCCCTTCTGTGCTTTATGCTCTGTTTGCAGCAATTGAAGTAAGCTGCCAAGGAAGGAAAGAAGTGGAAAGACAGGAGAGAAAGCAGGATATTTTGAAAGCTGCTGAAAAAGTGGCACGGCACAAGATTAATTGGAACCTCGCTTTGCAAAAAACAGAACTGTCGAAGGATATGTTGTCCAGGACAAGCCGACGTGCTTCCTCTCTACGTGTGTTTTGTCATCATTGCAAACTTCTTTTTTTATTGCCGATTTCAGAAGAACTGGTTGAGACAAGCAGCGGCAAGCAGGCCAACCAGCTTTCTATCCGCTCCCTTCACACCACCTTTCTCATAATCTGGATTTAATCCTTTATCTTCCATTGTTTATCCCAGAGGGCATGAACAGAAGCCGGCTTGGGAAAGTTGGGGTTTTTTTAGACCCACTTTCTCCTTCTTCTCAATCTTCCACACCTTTTTCTCTCACTATCTAGAATTAGTCCTTTATCTTTCCTTGTTTCCAGTTTGAACTAGAGGGACGTAAATAAAGTGTGAGACAGTTATTTTGGGTCCAGTTTACAGAATTACACCCAAGCCCCACACAAGTATGTTTTTTTTAAAAATTTTGTCATGTCAGGAGCGACCTGAGAAACTGCAAGCCGCTTCTGGTGTGAGAGAATTGGCCGTTTGCAAGGATGTTGCCCAGGTGATGCCCAGATGATTTGATGTTTTGTCATCCTTGTGGGAGGCTTCTCTCATGTCCCTGCATGAGGAGCTGGAGCTGATAGAGGGAGCTCATCCGTCTCTCCCCAGAATCGAACCTGTGACCTGTCGGTCCTGCCGGCACAGGGGTTTAACCCACTGCACCACCGGGGGCTCCTACAAGTATGGTTGCTGGCTGGGGATACTGGGAGTTGTAGTCCCTAAATGAATTCTTACAAGCTTTTGTTATCTTGGGAACAGCAGTGGTAGAGCTGGAGGAAAAATGGATTTTTAGCATCCCAGGGTATATCTGCACCATATAATTAATGCAGTTTGGCATCACTCTGACTACCATGGCTCCATGGTATGGAATAATGGAAACTGTAGTTTTACATGATCTTGAACCTTCTCTGCCAAAGAGTGTTTGGTGTCCCACCAAACTGCAACTTCCATGATTCTATAGCATTGAGCCATGTCAGTTAAAGTCTGGATCTACACTGTCATATAATCCAGATTATCAAAGTGTATAATCCAGATAATCTGCTTTGAATTATGGCCATATAGACTCATATAATCCAGTTCGAATCAGATAATCTGGATTATATGGCAGTGTAGGTCCAACCAAAGTCTACACTGCCGTATAATCCTGATTATCAAATCCACTGGATTATATGAGTCTACATCACCATAGAATCCAATGCAAAGCAGATAATTTGGATTTTATCTGACAGTGTAGATGGGGCCTAGATGGGACCCAAGTGGTGTTAAATGCATTAATTCGCCAGTATAGACCAGGGGTCCTCGAACATTTTAAACAGAGGGCCAGGTTACAGTCCCTCAAACTGTTGAAGGGCCAGATTATAATTTGAAAAAAACATGCATGAATTCCTATGCACACTGCACATATCTTATTTGTAGGGCAAAAGACACTTAAAACAATACAATAATTAAAATGAAGAACAATTTTAACAATATAAACTTATTAGTATTTCAATGGGAAGTGTGAGCCTGCTTTTGGCTGATGAGATAGGGTTGTTGTTGTTGTTGTTGTTGTCTGCTTTCAAGTCATTTCAGACTTAGGTTGACCCTAAGCGAGGGCTGAGTAAATGACCTTGGAGGGCCGTATCCGGCCCCCGGGCCTTATTTTGAGGACCCCTGGTGTAGACGAACCCTGAGAGGTTCTGGGTAAAATTTGTCACTCTGAACCATGTGGTGTAGTGGTTTGAGCATTGGACTATGACTTTGAGGACCAGGTTCGAATCCTTGCTCATCCATGGAAGCCTAATGAACTTTGGCAAATTGCACTATCTCAATCCCAAAGGAAGGGAAATCCCCTCAGAATAAATCATGCCAAGAAAATCCCGTCACAGAGTTGCTCAAATGGCCGTAAATCAGAAACAACTTGAAGGCATGCAAAAACGGTGACAGCAACAGGATCTGTGTGTAATATGTGAGGTGACATACTACACCGAGTAAGAGATATAATGAAGCAATGGGGACATTTACATTCTCTGCAAAGGGAAGTAAGGTTTGCTCAGAAACCGGAAAAGGAAAGAGGTGGGGATAGGTTTGAATGAGAAATTTAGTCATAATATACTGACAAGAAAGGGTATGAAAGGTGATGAGGGCAAATAACCCACAAACCAGCAGGGATGGGAATGAAAATAAAGAGGATAGCCAAGCAGAAGAACT